CTGATCCAAAATACTTTCCTTATGGCCACCCTGTGAGGTCAGTAGCCCAAGGCGAATTCCTTCCACTTTTCAGAGGAGGGCTGGCTTACCAGAGAAGTGCTAGCTGAGGTCCCTGAGAGGCGGATTAGAATGGGAGCTCCCTGAGGGCAGGAACTGCTTTCTTTGACCTTTCTTTGCATGCCCAGCTTCTGGCACAGAGGAAGCACTTAATTAATGCTTGCTCATTGGCTGACCAATCCACTGTAGCAACTTGCAAGTATGGAGAACCATACAGGCCGGAAGACCAGCATTTGTCCACGACATCCTCCACGGCCCTCCCTGTGTAACAGCAGCTTCAGTCAACATGAACCTCCAGGGAAGGAGAGAACGCTTGGAAAGCTGAAATGGGGCAAGAGGATGCCATTGTCTCTGCAGTGATGAACAAGGGCTGCCATCTTGGTCCTGTCCCATGGTCCTTGAAGGCTCAACTTCTCATGGAGCCTCCTTTAAGCCACTGAGTGGTAAGGAGGGAGCTGGAAGCGAACACCAGGGGCAGAATACTCAAGGATTCCCTTTCCTCCAGAAGGGAAGAGAGGACAAAGCCGGAAAACTCCTCCCCCTGGAAGATAAGTCCCCTGAGGGCAAGACCTGGGGCCTAGCCCATCAAAGTGCTTAATCAATGGTTGTAGACTGAGGGCCCCTTCTGGGAAGTGAGAGATGTCCATAAAGTAAACTCCTCCAGGGCAGGCACTGCCTCCATTCTGCCTTAGAGCTTCTGGACAATTGAAGTTGCTTCTTTCCAGGGGCTCTTCTAGGAGGGCAAGGGCTGATTCACTTGTGTCTCCGGCATCTTGCACACACTAAAGCTTGACATATGTGTGTTGTACTGGGTTGCATTGTCTTGTATTCAGAGTGGGCCAAAGTGTGGCACGGGGAGTCAGAGGATCTGAGTTCAAATCTTGACTCCATCACTACCTACCCAGGCAACCTTGGCTCTGTGCCTGCTTGGCAATGCTGAGAATTCTCTGGGTTTCAGCTATATCTAGCTTAACCTTCTTTTCTTTTATTTCAATTGATCAGATTAAGTTGTTATTTTTGGTGTGTCATTATCAGTTCTACCTAAGTTTATTATTATGGGATGAAATGCAGAGCTAGAAGAGATCTTAGAGCAATCTTAGAAGTCATCTTGTGAGGCGGCTGGTGGCACCGTAGTGCTCAAGGCCCTGGGGTTGGAGTCAGGAAAACCTGAGTCCAAATCTAACCTCAGACATTATCAGCTGCGTGACCCTGGGAAAGTCACTTAACTGCCTCCATTTCCTCCATTTAAAATAGGGATAATAACAGTTTTCAGGGTTGTTGTGAGGATCAAGTGAAGTGATATTTGTGAAGTGCTTAGCACAGTGCCTGGCACATTAGGTGCTTAATAAATATCTGTTCTCTCCTCTCCACCCAGCCCCCCCCCATTTGATCCTCAGAGCAGCCCTGTGAAGCAGGTGCTATGTTTGTTATTAATTAGTTTCACCGTTTTACTGATAAGGAAAGCAGGGCTCAGAGAACTTGAGCAAGTCAAAGAGACTTGCTCAGGGTCACAGAGCTTGTATCTGAGGCGAGATTCAAACCCAGTATTTAGGGAACCTAAGTTCAGGTCTCTATTAACATTCCTGTGAAAGGGGTGTGTGTGTGTGTGTGTGTGTGTGTGTGTGTGTGTGTGTGTGGGCAGTGAGTGAGAGAGGAGCCTAGAAGTGGTAACACCACGGTTTAGCAAGGTCTTAAATCTGATCTCTTATGACGATGGAAGATCATGGAAATGGTATCAAACAATTTCATCCCACGTACAGTTAGTGGATTCCAGGAGAGGGAGAAGCCTGTGGTGCCGCCTCACTTGTTTGCAGAGCAGACTTTCTGAGGCCAGTCAGTCATCAAGGTTTATTAGCCAGATTTGTCGGTGCTACATTCTTCAAACCTCTAGTTCGTATATTTTTAAAAAAGGTTTCATTAGATATTTTTTACTTGAAAAATTGTGAATCAGAGCCTCGGAGTTGTCCTAATAGATTGGAAGCTCCTTGAAGGCAAGGCCAATTTCATTTACATCAAATACAAAAGCCTCTGTTTGGCATTTCAAGCTCTTCCCAGCCTGGTCCTTTCTCCCTTTCCAGTTTTTTACCCATTATCCTTGTTCCAGCTCTCTACCCTCTAGCCAGACAAGCTGATTTCTGTTCCTTACACACAACACTCCACCCCCATGTTGTCTGCTTTCCCTCCTCTGCTCCGCTGCTTAGAGTCTCTGGCCTCCTTCAAGGCTCAGCTCACCGCCGCCACACACCCCCCCCCCCCACCTCGGGCAGGAGGCCTTGCCTGGCTCCCTCCCCCCCATGGCTGCGAGCACTTTTAGGGTCGAAGCTTTGCATGAATTCTGTACACACTCATACGTTAAATTCATGCTGTCTTCACATTACAACATAAGCTTCACTTTTTTCTTTGTTTCTGCAGGACTTAGTGCAGGACCTGGAACAGGGCAGGCACCTTAATGCCTGTTGATTGTTGATTTTATCTCTGAATTCCCAGCACCGACCACAGTGCCTAGGATGCAGTAAGTGCTTAATACATGCTGGTCAAATTAGATTTGTAGGAGCAGCAAAGCATAGCATTTGGACGATGCTCTTTGGTGGTTTGGGGGAAAGGAGGATGTGCCAAAATGAGGTTTGCCTGTTTTTGCATCCTATTTCCTACTTCTGTATGAACGTATGGGCTGCTCTGGGCTCTCTCCCTTTCCCTCACAGAATGCCTGCGTTTGTTCCAAACACAGCTCATGCACCTGGTCCTGAACAAGGCCCTTCCTACCTGCCCTCTCCTCTCACCTAGCTATTAATACTTTCTTCCTCTTGAAGTAGCTTTGCCCAAACATGCCTTTCCCTTAGGATCATGTAAGGTTCCGGAGGGAGGCGGCTTGGTGTTTTTGTCTTTTATCCCCCTCCAATGCCTAGTATGTAGTAAAGTGCTGATTGAATTGAATGGATTTACTGGCCCTGAGGCCAGTACTAAGCTGAGGCTTAGTATCAGGAGGAAGCAGAGACAGTCTGGTGGGAGTGCTCAAAGCCTTCCTACTATGGCCTCTAGTCATAGCAAGTGATGGGAGTCATTTTCTCATCCCAGGTAAACTGAGGTATGAGGTGGATATATTTTACAGAGAATTTTCTCTGGAAGGGACCTTCGAAGCATCAATTTGTACCCCCTCATTTTACAGATGAAGAAAAAGTCACAGAGAAGTTCAAAGGCTTTCTCAGAGATACACAAGTAGAAAGTGTCTGAGGTGGGCTCAGAACCCAGGTCTTCCTGATTCTAACTCCAGAGCTCCATCCGCTACTAGTTCATCCGTGCAGCCTCTGTTGGTTTTCCATTAGGAAAAAGAAACCAACTGTCCTTTGCTTTCACCCTTTGCTTTCTCCTGGTTATCATCACTGGTTAATTAAGGAATATTTCTGAGAATGGCTGTCAGCCAACATCTACAAGGCACCCAGTGAGCCCCAGGAGCGGTATTCACATAGAATGTGGAGAGGAGGAAAACAAGGCAAACAGGACCATTCTTCCATCATGACGTCAGATCCATGGACCTGAGGTAGAGGTTTTCTACCATTAAAGAAAGATTCCCTGGAACTGGAGAATGAAGAGAACAGAGTCCATTTCTGACCCCTTGGATGGATGGATGGTTCCATTTAGGCAATACTGAGGACTGTTCTCTTTGTAGGGAAACAACCAGTTCGGAGCAGGCCTGTGAGTCACTTCACCTCTTGCCACTTGCTCATTACTTCAGTGGATTGTGACTCCAGCTGAGCTGGTGGCCAAGAGGAGAAAGGCCTTCATCTGGGTTTTCGAGGCCTCACAAAAATGAGGGTCTTTTCAGGGTCCTGACAGGAGCTTTCATGGTTCTGTCTGCTGCCTAATCTACCAAGAGAATTCTTTGTGTCTCACACAAACTATTTTACTCTCAAGTATCAGTTGTGAAATGGAGGTCAAACTTAAATCACACAAAGGCAGTTCCTTCTCTTTCCCTAATAGAAACTGCAGAATTAGGTGAGGGATCATTTGCACAGTTTGGACAACGTCTATCTGGTGCCGAAGTCTGTCATCCTTCGGTGAGGTGCATTCCTACAGAGTGTGCTGCCTCCCTCCTGGACCAAAGGTAGGACCAGTTTATGGGGCTCTAAAGGGGCAGCATTGGGAGATCCTGAATAAGTGTGGAAGAGCAAACGAGTGCCCTGCTCCCCCCCAGAAACGTCACATACAAATCGGCTGCTAGCCTCATGGCTACAACAGAGAGTTCTTTGGGTCTGGCCTCTTACCAACTTAAGCAATCTGTGATTGATGAGAAGGAGGTCTTCCCTTCCCTGTCTAGTTTCTTCACCAATCATTCCCTTCACATCTATTCACCCAGCTGGCTATTGCTTTCACCCATCTGTCCTAGCCAGTCCAAGCTGGTCCTTTCCTCTCTCCACTTTCCACAGAGTACAGTGCCATGGGCTAGATTTGGATTTTTTGGACAAAGTATCCCACCTGATGCCCAGGTTCAGCTCAGCCCATGCCAGCCTCACATGCAGCCAAAGTCTCATAGCGCTCCTTTCAGGGCTAGGGCAGTTAGGGAGGTAAGTGCTTGGGAAGGGGGAGGAGGCGTGTGGAGACAGTGGGCCAGCATGTCTCTGCAGCAATGAGAGCAGCAAAGTTGGGGTGGGAGTGAGGTAGGAAATCAGCCAAAAAGATAAAGGAAAAAAAAATCAGCCTAAAATAAATGAAGAAAATTTAAAGAAAAAGGGGGGAAATGGAAAAAAAGATGACTGAAGAATCAGAGGAGGGAAGGTAGGAAAGCCAATTTCTCAGGGATGCAAAGGGTAGAAAAATTAAATAATTAGGGAGGGAAGGGATTGATAACAAAGAATGGGGAAGGAGGGATTTGGAGGAAGAGAGGGGGAAAAGGAAAATGAGGAGAAGAGGAGTTTAAATGAAAAACCAAGGGAAACAAAGAATACCTAGGCATGTCCGCATCAAGAAACTGCCTGCGGAAACACAAAACATTATATGGTTAGTGTGGGTTCAAATGGTCGGCGGCCGGACAAGCAGGGGCAGCGGGCGGCGTGGTCAGGAAGGCACATTGGAGGCGAGGTTGCCCCCTAATCCCAGGCCCCTCCCAAGCTGCAGTGGAGCACAGCCAAGCCTTGGGCCCCCTCCACGGGGAGGCCATGGGGAGGCCATGGCGAGGAAAGGGGAGCAGGAGCCTCCGGGGAATCCGGGCTGGCAGGAAGGAGCCACGTAGCAGAACGCAAGCTGAGCAGCCCTGGTGAGGGAAAAAGGCCTGGGACCACCTTGGTCTCTTGTTAGTCCGAGTCCCCAGGGGAACGTGGACCCTGTTCTCCACCCAGGCCTTGATTCCCCTCGGGGCAACCTGATCTCAGAGCTCAGCACAGCGAGTTTGGGGGTGGAATCATAAAACCTTAGGCTTGGAAAAAACCTTGGAGGTCAGGTCCAAATAGCATCTGGGCAGGACTCGCCTATACAATTTCCTCAACAAGTGGCCCAGCCCCTGCTTAAGGGTCTGTACTGTTGGGAGAAGCTGCTCTCTACTGAGGCAGCTCATTTGCCATTGGACAGCTCTGGTAATTAGCAATCTTGAGCTTGCCTTGAGCTGAAATCCATCCCCAGAACTCAACTCTAATCCTAAACTTGCTGCAGGCAAGTAAGGTGGATGCTAGAATTCTATTTATTATGGAGAAGCAGAATCTTGTGATACCCCAGTCAATGGCAACACTGAGGTGGCATTGGCCAGCTCCAAGGGGTTTCGTGATTGGCAAAGGCAAGTGCCTCCCCCTAAGACTTTCAGGACAGAAAAGGTAGTGAAGGAGAAAGAGGTTAAGGGGCTGGTTCATCCTGGGACCTGCCCTTTGGGATTAAGAGCAAAGATGAGCGGGAACTAAGCTGTAAATTGATGTTATTTGGGGAAAAACAAGTGATTGGTTTCATTTAAGCCCTGTACGTCAGCTGTCCTCTCTGTATCCTTCGTTTAGTGGCTTCCACAAACGAGTCAGAAATTGCAGCAATCAGGAACCCAAACAATGAAGCCACAACCCAGCCTGGCGCCAGACCAAACAAGAGGAGGACTCTTCAATGGTCTGAAGAAATTCTTCTTTCCTGGGTCCTACTGAAAATCACTTTCCCTCTTCTTTCTACAAAAGGCAACATGCTTCCTACCTCTGTTCTTTCTGGCTTACTCACAGAATCATCGGTTTCGAGCTGGAAGGGACCATAGAAGCTCTTAAAGTCCAACATCTGCATTTTATGGGTGAGGAAACTGAGTCACAGAGAGGCTAAGTGACCTGCCCAGAGTCACAGCACAAGTAAGTGTCTGAGGAGGTGTTTGAACTCTGTCTTCTTGACTGCAAATGCAGGAGTGCAGGGTTCTATCCACTATTCATACAGCACCTGCCTTCGCAGAATATGTATGTGTATGTATATTATATGTAGATATAAAATCTGTGTATGTATATATGCACATATATGAATGTGTGCGTAGCGGTACAGAGCATATTTCAAAGTCTAGCTTGGCTGTGAGAACAGTTACATAGTTGTAGGTGATCTTGGTTCTTGAGAATATGAATGAGCCCATTTCCCCATACCCTGAGAGAGCCACCAGACTGTCTGTTCCTTTCATGCCTTCCCTGGTACTTCTACAAACAGCACTGAGTTACAGCCGAATGAATGCCTATTGGATTGAGTTTAATTGAATTAATAGCTTAGGAAGAGTCATCCCTGCGAACTCTGCTTGTGAGGAACCCGCAGTCTTCAGGTTCCCAGTCTGGGTCTCCCCTCCCTCACTTCGCTGCACTGCCTCCTAGCAGCTCTTCTGATCATTTTGTCAGGAAATTGCAAGCAAGAACCCTCTTGATCCCCAGACCTTTGCATAAGTGAAGATTCACAAAGAGGATCTTAGTCAGTGCTTCCTGCTTCTTAGCAGAAGTGAATTTGGGCATCTCAACAAAGAGGTCAGAAAATAAAGGAAATATGAATCTCCTACTAATGGCTTCTCTGTTTTGTTATGTGATAACAAGCATTAGGTTCTCATTCCTTTCAAAGTATCCCCAAACTTCAAAGTGATCTCTGCTGTGCACATGGAGCCCCCCTTCCCCAAAAGCCTCTTATGTGATGCTACCCTAGGAGACATTCTAGCTGTTAGCACCAATGAAATCTTCCTGGACCTCCTTACCATCTAGACTAAGCCTTTTTTTTTTTTAATTTCCTACTCACTAAACCAGGTGTGGCTGCCTGAGGCTCTCTAACCATAGACTACATTTTAGAACTTTGGGGTCACTTAAACAAATGAAAAACGATTCCAGGCTCAACCCCACCTACCTCATTTTCCTGTAACTCCAAAGAGATCTTTTATTACATTTTACCAGAAAGGTTCAAATCTGGACTGAGGCCAAGCACAAATGATAATGACTCCAAGGGAGAAGTCTTTGGGACGTTAGGCAGGGTTCTGTCAGCATGGACCTAAATGTTTCTGAACTAGAGCCTTCTGTGCATGACTTCTGCTGGGATCTGAGTGTCTGCCTCTTTACTGTCTCACTCTTGTACTTCTATTCCTGATTGATTGATCAGCCAACAAACAATTATTAACCACCTACTCTGTGCCAGGCTGTCCGTTGCCCCATGTTGACTCTATTCAAGGAATGCTTGCAGTAGACCTTCTGGTAAAGCAAAGGACAGGTTCATAATATAAAAAGCACCCAAGTTCCTTCCTCCAAATTCTCCTTAGCTTCCTCCAAAGCCCGGGTCACATGTCACCCCATCCCTTGTGGTCAGTGCACTCTCTTCAAATTCTCATGCATATACTTCTCCGTTTACATGTTGCGACCTCCCAGTAGAATGTAAGCTCACTGAGGGCAGGAACCATTTTATTTTTGTCTCTGTGTATGCCAGGCACATAGTAGGTATGTTTAGCAAATGTTTGTTGATTGATTTCTCAGCCTGTGTCTCCATCCCCATGACCTTATACCTTCTTGATCAGCTCCCTACCTCATGTCAACTGTAGTTGCTTCTGCGGACCAGCTCCTGGCTGCTGCTAACTGGTTATCAGTGTTTGGATGGAGATGAATATGAAAATTCCTTCTGACACAGACCATTACCACCAAGGGTGATCAGAAATGACTGCAGGGCCAAGCCAGCTAATTGGCAGTATGCTGTGGAATGGGCTGATCAGCTTTAGAGTGTTAATAAAGGAGAGAGCCTGAACAGGCGGACAGATGGGCAGCGCTGGATTCGGGCAGCAGGCTGTTAGTGTCCCACAGCCTTCCTCCTCAGCTCCACCTCCTGTGATCCCTGTCCCCTGTCAAGGCTCAACTCAGGTGCACCTCCCACACTAGGTGCATCCCGACTTCCCCACCCCCAAATCACATTGTATTCATTTTGCGTTTTCTAAAAAACTCTTTGTTTTAGAGGTTCCCCTGCTCAGTGATCTCCTGCTGTATCTTCCGGAAGGCAGACAACCTACACTTGCAGCCCTCCTCCACCTGAAAGCAGTAGGAGGTCACAGAGAAAGGAGACCATGGTAGCAAGGAGGCTGACGGGGTGAGTGATCCCCTGTCAGGGAGTGAGGGGAGCATACATGATGCATGCGATCTTTGACCACCTCCAATGACCAGGGATGCTGTTCAGAGAGGGTTTAGAGGTTGAGAAAAGAAAATCAGGCACTGATCCCAAAAGGGAAAACTCACCGATCGTCCTGAGAAGGCTGGACGTAGCCCGAGGAAAGGATGTTGAGCGAGAGAATGTTGGGATCAATGAGGGATTCGTCTGTTTCGGGAGTGTTCCGGATCCGACCTAGAGGATACAACAGAAGCTTCAGTCATCTCAGAGAAGAGTAGGCAGAAAGGCATGGAGCCTTCACCCTCATTGCTGCTCTCGACTAAACGAAAGAGGTGACATTTGCCAACACTGTTTCTAGGGATCCGAACAGACCCTGAGCCCCATGGCACATGCTTCGATGCTGCTGGTGTCCCTCTAGGGACAGTGCTGATCCAGAGGTTGTATTTAGAAGAAAAAAACTTCATCCGTTCAGGTGACTGTAAGCTCTTCATCATTTGGAGATGCCTTACTTTGGCTTTGCATTCCTAGCACCTAGGACAGTGCCTTACACATAGCAGGTGCTTAATGTTTATTGGGTAGAATTGGGTCCACCTCCCCTTCAGCCTCCTTGAGTATGGGAAGGACGATTACAATTGCATTTTAAGAGTATACAAAGGCTTGGGGCCGCTAGGTGGCGCAGTGGATAGAGCACCAGTCCCGGATTCTGGAGGACCTAAGTTCAAATCCAGCCTCAGACACACAACACTTACTATCTGTGTGACCCTGGGCAAGTCACTTAGCCCCATTGCCTACCTAAAAAAAGAAAAAAAAAGAGTATATAAAGGGTTGTTTTCTCCTAAGACAAGAGTTTAAGTCATCGCCAGGTCAAGGCTCTAATCTCGTTGGTGGGAGGTACAGGACCCGAGTTCAAATCCTGGATCTGATACTTACTACCTCCATGACCTTGGTCAAATTGCTTACCCTGTCTGAGTCTCACTTTCATTGTTTGTAACTGGAAGTGTTGGACCAGATGATCTCCAAGGTTCCTTTTAGCCCTAGATTTATGATTCTCTGATTCTATGGTTGTGACCAGGTTATAAACAATGGGCATTTCCACATATTTTGCAGATGTTTTCCTGTGAATTCTTTGTGGAAAGGCATAATACTTGCATGTAACTTCCTCTATATACACACAGATAACCATAATTACTGCATTTTGTAGGCAGTACAAACCTAACACAGAAATAAGGTAGGCAAAGGCAGGAGTGGGCTGGTACCATAGTCCCATAAATTCTTAGCCTCATTCTAGCCTACTTCCGGGCTTTTACATTGTATAAGATTGCTAGTCGGCCTTAACTTAAGAAAAACCAAAATGCCAAAAATCTGGAATGGATCCGATTCAACCCAATCCAACCAGCATTAATTGAGTGCCTACTATATGCCACACCCTGATAGAGGTGCTTGAGATATGAAGACAAAACATGAATGTGTCTCTGTTCTCAAGGAGCTCCCAGCTCACTGGCCAGACACCTCATGCACACGGATAACTTAGCAGAAGGCAATTTGAGGAGAGGAATCAGGAGAGGCTTCCTGCAGGAGGGGGCACCTGAGCTAAGGCTGGAAGGAAGCCAGGGCAAAGAGGAGGACTAAACTCAGGTCATGTTGACATTCCAGATCCATTCTCTGCTTTACAAACTGATCTGCTGGAAGTATTCCTTTAGCAAGGAAGTATCATGTTATGCTGCATGGAAGGCTGGACTGGATCTAGGAAGAGCCAGGTTTACATCCTGGCTCTGAAGTAGGTGACCATGCTTTACCTTCCTGAGCCTCAGTTTTCTCTTCTGTAAAATGGGGACAATGATATTGATAGTGCCTATCTTACGGAGCTGTTCAGAGGCTCAAATGAAATAGTCAATTTAAAGTGCAGAGTAACCTTTCAGACCATCTGCTGCTACTATTTAAATAACAGCATTCACACCATATTGAAATGTTTCTTCTCTGACCATTAGGCCATTTGACAGAAAGGGAGCCGGGAAAGAGACACTTAGAGATTAAACACTTGGACAATAATAATGAACATTAGGGAAGGAAGGAAGCATTTAGTACTACTGTGTGCCCGATACTGGACTAAGTGCTTTACAAACATTATCTCATTTTATCCTCACAACAACTCTGGAAGGGAGATGCTATTATTATCCTTATTTTACAGCTAAGGAAACTGAGGCAGGCAGAGATGAAGTGACTTGCTACGGTCACACAGCAAGTAAGTGTGCAAGGCTAGATTTGAACCCAGGTCTTCCTGACTCCAGGCCCAGCACTCTATCCACTGTGATTCCACCTAGGGGCCCACACAATGCTTTTTAACATTTATAAGTCACTCTGTTCCCAACAATGCTGTGATTTAGGTAGTGTGCCAGGGCAATTACCCTTTTTACAGATGAGGAAACAGGCTCAGAGAAAGTAAATGCCTAGTTCAGTTATGTGACTCTAGGCAAGTCACTTAACCTCTGTTTGACTCACTTTCCCCATTTGTAAAATAGGAATACCTACCTCCTTTGTGTGCACCTACCTCTCAAGACCTTTGTGATGATCCAATGAGAGAATTTTTGTAAAGTGCCTGGCACGTAGTAGGTGCACATAAATGTCAGATTCGGGATTTGAAACCAGATCTCTTCTGCCTCTAAGTCCATTTTCTATCTATTGTTCTATCAGAAACGTAAAATGAAAGTGCAAAAATAATACTTATTTTGTAAAAGCTTGACTTCAAACTGGAGTGGGATGCATCCTTTGCGGGCACAATAGGAGATAAGCCAGTAGCTACTCAGCATGGACAGCTCCCCAGCTTACCCACAACTAACTCCCGTACTTCTTTCCAGCGGATGTGGCTGCCGGTCTCATGCACCAGGGTCACGGTGATCCTTCTCTGGATCCCCTGGGAGTCATCAAGAAGAGAGAAGTGTGAGAGCAACAATTACGACTCACATTTCAACACCAAAATGATGTCTTGACAACAACCCGGAGAGGTAGGCGTGCAGGTAGTCTCATCACCTTCTTGTGACAGGTGAGGAAACAGGCTCAGAGAGTGTCAGAGGATCTCAGCGTTGGGAGACAGCTCAGTGGCCATGTGGTCTGACCTATCCCATGATGTCTGAGGCGAGTGGCCACCTAGGCTTTGCTCAAAGCCCTTCAAAGGAGGAACCCATTGCATCTCCCAGCAGACCATTCCACTTAGAGATGGCTCTCACAATCACAATGTTTTTTCCTGATGTCAAAGCCCAAGACCATTTCAGATGAGTCATTATGTAGCCAGGCTTCCCTTATCTTATACTTTTGAAGTTGAATTCTGAACTTCAGTATAAGACACAGAACTCTTATTAAATTTCATCTCATTTGATTCAGCCCAGTACTCTAGCCTACAAAGGTCTTTTTTGATTCTGACTCTGACATCTAGTGTATTAGCTACCCCTCCCAGTTTTGTGCCATCTTCAAATTGGAAAATCCTACTCTCTCTGCCTTTATTCAAGTAACTGATAAGAACATTAAATAACACAGGGCTAAGAACAGATTTACGCCACCCAGGAGAAAGTCACTTAGTTGTATTGGCCAAAAAGGTTAGTAGGAAGCCTGTATGGGGTAGGGGAGGGGAAGATAGTGGATAGCTCAGGATGAAGAGAGGTAAATACCTGATGAAGCAAAAAAGTTCCAAGGCATGGCATCCCTCCTCGGTGGTCCACAACAGCTGGAATGTAGCTGGGAAAGAAGAGAACATGAAGCAGGCTGTCACATTTTCACAAGCCAGTGCCCAGAGGAGCAGGGGATTATAGATTTGGAGCTGGAAGGGACCACAGAGGTCATGTATTCCAACACCTTTATTTTACAAGTGAGTAAACTGAGTCCCAGAAAGGAGAACTGGTTTGTCCTGAGGTTATGTATATACACACATGCATATACATATACATATATACATATATACATATATATGTATATGTATGTATATGTGTGTATGTATGTGTACATATGTGTGTGTGTGTGTGTGTGTGTGTGTGTGTGTATGTATATGAAAACCTCACTGGGATAATTAGTCAATAATCTATCTCTTTAAACTCATTTCTGACAACATCCCTGGGACCACTATGGCTACTCTTAGCATCTCCTGTCTTCTGACCTAAAACCATTGCTCTGGTACGCTTATAGAATGCCACTAAACCAAGTCAATGAAGAACCCAATCAGCAAGGAAAGGACATCATTGTAATGGGAGCAGGACAGAGTAAGAGCCTCAGCCCATTGTAGGCCCACCAGGAGATTATTGATGTGTGATAGGATACCTAAATTAATACCCAGTTCACGCAGCTCACAGAATTAAGTCCAACCAACATCTGTTAGCCTCCTCCTGGTAGGGATGAGTACTTCCTTTTCATGAGCAGGTCAATCAGCGGGTGAGTTGATGTGGGACATTCCCAGATGTATCCTCAGAATGTTGACCAGGAGGTCAGTTGGTTTAAAGCCCAGGGAAACTGTCAATTTTTTGGGGGGTGGGTGGGAGGCACCTTCATAGTTGGTGGAAGAGGAGCAAGACTGCTAAGCCAGACTGCTTCACTATTGTTAGTGAAGAAGAGAAAGAACTTTTCCAGTGGAAGCGGAGAGCCTCTCAGGGCTCAGCTTCTTAGCGTCTAATAAATGTTTACTGAATCAAATAGAAGGAGATGAGTAAGCTATGTAATAATTTGTGCATCCTAATTTATTATGTATCTCTTAATAACATGGTAGGTCTTTGATGTTGGGTGAGTCTTGCTTCTCATTGCCTAGTCTATATTCTAAATTCTGTATTTCTGTCCAGTCAAAGAATTGATGGTGCTCAATCAACAAGCATTTATTAAGCACCTACTATGCATCAAACGTTAAGTTAGGTCCTGAGCATACAATGGCAGAAAGACATAGTGCTTGTGCAGAGGAGCACACACTCTGTCTAGTCTCACGTGTCCGTAACATTTTCAGATTTACCAAGGACTTTCTTCTTAATGACCTCACCAGGTAGTGGCACAAGGCTTATCTCCATCTCTGGAGGGAATGGGGGTTCACTTGCTCACTGTAAGTGTATTGAGATTTGGATTGGGGAGACAGTTCCCATCACTAAGATTACAGATTCATCAATATGAGGGCAGAACCAGTTTTCCCTTTGCTCCACAAGTCAGTGGAATGGGGACCTAGTTGTTTTCCCAGAATCCCTAATAAGAATACATAAGATAAGAAAATAAGAAAGTTAAATAAAATTTAAAATTTAAAAAAATAAAACATTAAAAAATTAAATAAAATAAAATGAAATTAAAAAAAATAAAATAAGACATGCAACTCACTCGCCATTGGCTTCCAGCTCACAGATTTCGAAGTATACCAGCAGGTCATATTTGCAGTGGCAGGGTCCAGCAGTGGGCCGGGTGAGGGTGCTTAGCTTGGTGGCAGGCACTACAGAGAGCCACAAAATGAAATTGGATGTTACAACCAAAAGCTTATCCAACAATTTTAAAGCCAGGCCCTTTTCTTGGCATCACCCAGAAAAGGAATAGAAAGCAGGATTTACGTAGAGTCTCACTTGCAGTATGCATGTGGGTAGAGAAAGACAATGAAGAAATCAAGGAGTATAACTATTTGATTCATTTATTCAGCACACTTTTTTTTATAGTTCTATAGAGCTTTGTTAGGTTTTTTTTTAACACATGTTTATTAAACTCTGTTATTAAGTAAGGCCCTGTGCTAAGGACTGAGGAAGAAACCAGGATACAGAAGGCATGGGGTTCCTGTCCCTCAAGCAGTTTACAGCCCAGCATAAAGTGCCGAGTCCTTGAAGGCAGGGACCCTTGTCTTCTCCCTCTTGAACCTACAGCTCCCCATTTTTTGGTCCCCTCAGGACAGCCCAGCGCCACTCTGCATACAGATCATGCTCCTTCAATGTCTATAGATGGAACTCGAGGGAGAGAAAGCTTGTGCTGACATCAACCGATCAACAATCGACCAACCAACATTTATTACTGAGCACCTACTATGTGCCAGGCAGAAGTGTACATCCAACTAGGGAAAGGAAGGAGGGTTGCAGCTTCTCCAGAGGATAGACTTCTACTCATTTAGGGGAGACAGTATTGTGAGGGCTCTGGGGAACGAAGACCACCCTAGGTCACAACAGGAGTGGGTCAGTGTGGTGGCTGAAGGCGTACTCTATTCAGGCTGGAATCACAGCTCTGTAAGTGAGTAACTGTGTGACCCTGACCAGCCCACACAGTTTCCCTGCAGTTCAGTTAAATCAGGATCGAACGAAGGCATTGAAGTGCTGGTCTCCATGGCCCTTTCTTGTCACCTTCCTATGTCTTCCTCTTTAGACTCTTCTCACTTCTTCTCTGGCTTTCATGAACTGAAGAGCCCAGGACAGTCCAGTCAGGCCCAGCCATTCAAAGCTTCAGCCCCCAATGTCACAGGGAAGCTAGCTTGGCCATACAGGAGGTCCTAGATGGATGGACTAGAGCAGTGGGTGGGGAATCACTTGGGTGAGGTCTAGGGGCACAAGGGAAGGTTGCTCTGAGAGACTTATTGGGAACACCCTCAGGTCACTGGGGTGGTGATGGGTACACAACTTAGGCAGCTCCTGGACTGCGTGTTCAAGGGTCTCATTGGAAGTAGGGGGCTCTTTAGCTTGATTTAGTGAAATAAGTACTGCATTTGGGGTCAGAGGACCCAGTTTTGAATCCTGCTCTGTTACTAACTACCAGTGTGACCTTGGACAAGTCACTCTACTTATTTATCAGGCTCTCAGTTCCCTCACATATCAAAAGGGAAGGTTGGAGCAGAGAGTCTCCCTGTCACCTTTAAATGCTATGGTTCTTTCAGTGCTGTTGGGAATCTAGGGATAGACAAATATGGTCTGCCTCAATGGCCTACCTCTCATGAGATCGAGGAAAGATCATACGGGCAGGAAGGCACCCTGGACATCAGCTGACCTAACCTCCCTCATTTGAAATATAGGTAAACTGAGGCCCAGAAAAGCAAAGCAAGCAACAGATAGCAGAGGTGGGGTTTGAACCCTGATCTTTTGCTGCTGAGCCTAGTATTCTATGCACTGCACTGAACTGCCTCAACTTCTTTCTTTCCAGTTCTGGGTGATGCCAAAAACCCCTCACCCCTTTTTTTCAGACTTAAATTTGACTGGAGTCTGCTGCAGGAAGTCAAAGCTTGGCCAAGATTCTCAAATTTTCTATTTTGTTTTCGACTACAAATTCTTCAGCCAAACTTCACCCTAGGTTTGAGGACGCAAACACAGGAGATGAAAAGATGGCCTGTGTTCATGCAGCCAGGACAAATAGCTGTCTCAGATTGTCCTGGCCTCTGTCAGGACATCAGGCCCTCTTGGAGTGGCTCTCATTTGGGAAGTAGCTTACTGACCAATGATGGACCAATATGGCACCTTATTTTTTCCTCAAAGCTAGCACTAGCATCATTGAGGGGAATTGAGGTGTCCTGGGAAGCACTGCCCTTAAGACAAGCAGGCTCATTTAATGTCTCTGTGCTTTCCTTCCCTGTCCCCCACATTTCTGCTACCAGGTCCCAAGAGAGAAAGGAATGGAAAGAATAGATTTTTTCCAAAATCCATCCTGACCCTTCCTTTTCTCTGTGGGTGATGTCTCTTGGTGACTGTGTAACAAGATTAGGGTGAAACAGTGGGAGGCTCTGGAATGGTGAGGAAGGATTTCTAGGAGAAAGAAGAGTTTGAAAGTGAAGCCTCAGAGGAGCCTGGTGGGGAAGACTGAAGTCCTTGGCCTTGGGATGGACATAATCCATTCATAAATGCTGAAAATCTGCAGGACTGCTAAGGCCCCTGCTTGGTGCTTGCAAAGGCATTCATACTTGAGAGATGAGAGAAAGACAGAGATAGAATGAGGTAGGGAAGGAAATGGGCAAAGATAAATGCTTGTTGGCATAGAGACATAGAGAGGGAGGCAAAGACGGAAAGGAACACAGGAGAGAGACGAGGAAACAAAAAAGGCGGAAAGAAAGGGAGACAGAAAGATAGATGTGGAAAGACTCAGAGGCAAAGGGACAGAGAGAGAGAGACTGAGATATAGGGAGAAAGAGACAGACAGACAGAAGGAGGGAGGATGAGAGAAAGAGAATGAGAGAGACACAATGAAGGACATAAAAAGGGAGGCAGAGGTAGACAAAGAGAAGCAGAAAGAATGAGAGAGGAAGAGACAGAGAGGGATGGACAGATATAGAAAGACTGTAGGGAACAATGTGAGAGAAAGAGGCTCAATGAGAGGGCTAGACAGATGCAAATAAGGGAAAGGAAAAGGGAGGGAAAAGAGAAGGAGGTAGGAGAGGGATGAAGAATAAATGAGAAGAAAGGGAAGATGAGAAGGGGCAGGAAGGAGGAGGTTAGGCCAAGTGGCTTCATTTTGTGCCTGTATCCTAGATCTGGCTACACCTGTAGATGCCCCATCCATCTCAGAGAGATATTGATTGGAGAGGAACTAGACTGTAGTCTATGCTGAAATGGGAGTCTGAGGATCATTTCTGCCACTTCTGCTCCCAGAAGACAATGAGACAATGAGAATAGAAGTGGACCAAGACTGGGTAAAGAACCAGAAGAGAAAGGTCCAGGGCACTGAAACCAATCCCCATCCCAGGGGAAAATCTAGCCCTTGGGCTGGGGAGGGGTGGTAGGAGGAAGCACAGCTCAGTTTGATCCCAATAGTGTTGACTGAAAGAAAGATATAATTTCAAATAAAGAAGAAGAATGGGAGTAATAGCCAACACCCCAACAGCTCAAGAATCAGTTGCTCAGTCTCCATCAGGGTTGGACTACCTCTTGAAGGCAAGAGGCCATTGGCCCATGGAAGAATCCAGATTATGGTACTTTTTCCAGGAGTGGGGGTCGAGAAGAGAGTCACCAGAAAGTCCCCCAAATCCCACCTGGGGTCCTGACATCCCTGGCACCTGCCCAGTCTGCTCCATGAATGTAGTCCAACCCTGATTTCCACCTACCCTGTCTCCCAATCACTGCAACAAAACAATTCCCAGGAAATGTTCATGGAAGGAATCCCGAAGCACAGAGAGCTCTCCCATGGTTCGTTGAAGGCACCAACCAGGTTTCTGAGCCTTTTTGACAACCCCATCCATTCTAGGCTGTGAGGGATGAGACAAGGACCCTTTGCCCTCTCTCAGCAGCAAGGAGGAAGCCATGTTCATAAGTATGAAGGCATGCCCAGAGAGCACACTCAGCATGTGCCTGTCCAGTGTGCCTGGCATCCAATGCTCAAGCAGTCCAAGGGCCTTTTCTTCATCTTGTGTAGCAAAGACAAAAACAAGACAAAACAAAAAAAATCCAGCCAACATTGTTTGACCACAGCATGGGTGCCCCACAGAGCATATGAGAAGTGGGGGATCATTTCAGGGATGCTTCAAAATCACAGGCAGAACAGCTGGTTTGTCTTCTTAGCTGACACCTCTTCTGCTGTTCCTTCCTCGGTATCAGCTTGGTAGCAGTGGGAAGGGATTTAAAGGATTACGATACATCCAAGATGAAACCTCAGCCTTTGTTCCCACCCTAGTCTTACCTCATATGCCTGCAAAAATATTACTCCTTAAAGAAAACTAGATGGAAAGGGCAATGTCCTTGATGTCCTGTCTTCCTGACTACTTCCCCCTTACCCCAGTGGCTGCAATTTAATGTCAAAGCCACAAATTCCTCTTCTAGTCTTCCAAGTTAGGTCCTATTTCTGATAGATCAATGCTCTAGTAATTGGGCAATGTCTCCTCAGAGGAATCCCTGCATGCGTTTTTGGGGGAAATGCTCCTTGACTATGGCGAGGCAGAGGAATGGAAGTTGGTGTCCAAGCTTCCCAATCTCTCAGGGAGCTGTCATTGTTCTACAGTTGTCCAACATAAAAATTCACCCCTTGCCTCACAGGTGCTGTCACCTGCACTGGAGGGAACCTAAGTGAGATCATAGTCCTGGAAAACTTCCTGGAAAACTGATAATTTTGGTCTTCTCATTTAGTGATTCACCAGACGAGGAAAGGCGCTCATTTGCAGATGCCCTCCTTAAGGGATGAAGGAAGCCCAGCTCTGGTGTCCAATTTTCTGATGGTCTTTATCAGCCTGCTCTGGTTTTAATGAAGACCACAGTCCCAAGTACCAGCTGGCAGGGATGGGATGGAGCCATTTCAAAGGTATATGGTTTTCTACTGGACACTTAATCATTCTTTTGGAATAACACATTTGGAGGAACAAACTTTGCCCAAGCTACAGAATTATCCATCCTGGACTCTCTTACCCTTAAAAGCATTCCAGTCTCAGCTATGTTACTTTCATATTGATCCTTCTATATCCATTCTCCAAGAAAATACCTTTAGAATAGGCAAGAAAGATTAAGGTGTTATGCTAGGAAGATGATCCATGAAGGGCTTTGTTTAACCCAAGCACCAATTCCTATCTCACCAGGTTAACAAAGGACCCTTCGTAATGAGGAAGAAAATAAGCCAATAGCTTAGAGGCCTCACTATATCCCCCAAGTCCCTCGATTACTGTCTATAGCTAGAGCACCACATCCATCAATCATATAATAATAATGTAATTCCAAATGGGATTCTTCCTGGTAAGATGCCATAACTTGAAGGCTAGCTGGACTCAAATTGGAAAGAACTGGGGGGAGGCACGATCAAGAATAGAGGAATGTTGAGTGCTACCAACCTGGTTTAGAGAGTGGCATGACCCGAGGGAAATGGCGTCTTGATGGTCGTAGAGGGCTGTGGACAAAGAAGAGAGCCATGTGACTAAAACCAGAATCTTGAGACTTGAAAGAAAACTTTAGATATTGGCACCTGATCAGAATTTCTGCTTAAATATCTCTAATGCTAGGGAATCACAGAATCATTGAATTTGAGAGCTGGAAGGAGCCTTGTTGACTCTCTAGTCTAACCAAAGGAATGAGCACTATAACATAGCCAACAAGAGACTAATCTAGGGTCCTGACATCCCTGCACCTACATAGCCTGCGCTGTTAATGCAAACTAGCCCTGAATTCCATGTACCTTGCTTCTGCAATGACCTATTTCTCAGGATTCTTCACAAAGACGTCCAGGAAGGGATATCCCACTACCTCCCAAGTCAGCCTGGGCCACCTTGGGATGGCTGTCATTGAGAGGATGTGTTTCCTGGCATCAAGCCCAAACTGGCTTTTTGAAGCTTTTGCACTTTGCTCCCAGCTCTGCCCTTGGGAGAGCTCACTATCACTAATAATCAGGACTCAATAACTGGTTTATTGATGGACTTTACTGTCTGCTGCCTCCTAACATCAAGAGCATTGCTTTGATTGCTTCAATCTGAGAATTATGGAACAATTCCATTTATTTTCTTCTCTTCAAATCTTTCCTCAAACATGTTTCTTTTAGGAATTCAATTTAGTTTAATTCAAATCATTTCAATGAACAACATAAAATATACTATATTAGGTACTGGGAATAGAAAGGCAAAAATGATACAATCTCTGCTCTCAAGGTGTGTGTTCATATGTATGTGCGTGTGTGAGCACATGAAAGAGTATATATGTATAAGTATGTGTATGTGTGACACATGGTATATCTTGTGTTTGTGTGTGTGTTCACAAAGGCAACAGAGACAACATCCAGTTCAAAGAACAGCTAACAGACCAGTTTGGCTACACTGTGTGGAGCACATCGGGGAATAATATGGAAAAAGGCTGGGGAAGCTGGTGGGAGCCGTGGTTCTAAGGGTATTTGATACCAAACTGAGGAGCTTATCCCAGAGACAATAGGAAGCCACTGACAGTTTTTGAGTAGGGGAGGCACATGGTCAGATCTGTCTTTTAGAAATGCCACATCCTCCTTTCCTTGGGAGGGGTCATTTGTAAAATATTTGTAAAATGAATCAGTGAGATGAGATGATTTCTGGGGTCCATCTCAGATGGTCAGTAGACCAGGGAGCCTGAATCCCTCAGGGGAAAAAAGCATCTTGTTGCGTCCTTTCTATCTCTAGACTAAATTAGATATTTTCTGTCTCTCCTCTCTCTGTCTGTTTTTGTCTCTCTCTGCGTTTCTCTGTGTCTTTCTCTTTCCTTCTTTTCTTTTCTCTGTCTCTCTGTCTCTCTCTCTCTCATCAAGCCAAGTCAAGTCAAGCCAAGTTAACAATCGTTTAAAAAAAAAACTTTGCATCCATTGTTTGCATCTGTTCTGTGCCACAGCTAATTCAGAATTTGCCCTCAAGTAAAATGATCTCAATGTACCTTGTGTCATCTTAGTTCTACCCCATAATCACTTTAGGCCAACTTGCCATGGTGGCCAAAATCTGGTTCTTTAATGATGAAAATTCATGAAGCATAAAAAGTATCCAGGAATGCCTGGATAGGGGAGTCTATTAGAAGGAAGGTGAGGATGAGGACTCAAGTGGCCATGAGGAGAAAAGACCCTGGTCAGCAAATTCACATGGGCTCATTGAGGGACTGCCCTAGAGAGGTTCTCTGCAAGAAAGGCGAGGCAACCATGGTACTTAGATCATCTAGGACAGGGGCTGTGATAGCTGGCCAGGCTTCTCATCCTACTCAGTCTCTTTTCTGGAAAGTTGACTGCTAATTTTAAAAAGGGGAGAGGGGAGAACTGATTCTATTGTCAAGTGACACACTGAAATGCCAGCCCTGGGCAGCAGTTAGTGGAGCACAGATGGAAGGATATTTCTAGGCAAAGATATTCTCCAAGAAAAGCCTATTTCTGGTCTGACATGAGAACAGAGCAGAGCTAGAATAACCTGCCGAAGCTTTAAAGAAATCATGGGACTCTAGCGAATTCTATAGAAATCCCAGGCACAGGATTGTGTCCCTTTGGCTTTTTTTGCAGCTAAAATGGCACCACAGCTGGCACCTAAGTAATGTTTCCTGAATTGGCTTAAATGGGAAAATCAAGATCCCGACTGTTGGTCTTCTTCCCCAAGCATCTGGCCCCTCGATATGTGAGCAATCCCGTTCTGCAAATGCCTCCTCTTAGATTCACAGCATTTTTGAGTGAGAGGGGACTCCAGAAGCTGGTGACTCCCACTCATCCCTGAAAAAGACCCCCACCATGTCCTCATCAAGGAGCCATCACGCCTCACCTTGAAGCCTGAGGAGGTGCTCACTGTCTCCCAGGGTAGCCCAGCCTGCTCATGGACAGCTCTATTTTTCCTGAAGCTGCATAGGTCTGATCCCTCCTCCAGTTCTCCCGCCCCTTCTGAGTCTCCTCTCCTCCAGGCTCAACAGCCACGGCTCCTTTAACTGTTCCTCATGATGTTCAATCAAGATTCTTGATTCTTTGGCACTTTGGTTGATAGGTCCAAGGCAGGCTTACCTGAGAACATCCTTGCACAGAGGTGGGAAAGGATGCTGTTGGTAGTGGCCGAAGACCTCAAATACAATCGGTTGACTCTTGATGTATTCAACAAAGGACTTAGTCACCTCAACTGCAATCTGGTGAGCGGGTAGAGGGAGGAGAAAGGCCACAGTATGATTAAAGACAGAAGGCAGAGAGCCACCTCAGCCACCGAGTTCATAGGATAGCGGTTGGGTTATCCAGTTTGGAAACTGAGGCTATCCCCCTTGTCTTGTCTCTGATCTTGACCTCTGTGACCTCACATAAACAAGGGGTCAGTAATGAAGAGATGACCGTGTTCTCCTAGGAAAACCATAGAGCAGCAGAGGCAGGGACCAAATCCCACTTAACCCTCTGCTCACAAGGCTCAGCTGTTACATGCACAGACTAGCAGCCTGCAGGCAGGTACACTTGGTTATGCTCTGGGGCGTTTCTTAGAAGGGTGTTACAAATGGCCACAATGCCTGAGAGTGCTGTGTGAGAGTGCCATTACTACTCGTGATTGGAAGTGATGGTGGTGATGACGGTGATAACAAGGGACCTTTCTGTATGAAGTACTCAGCAAACGCGATCACATTTGGGCATCACCATGCTAGGTGGCACATACTACTGTTCTTATATTTATTTTACAGATGAAGAAACAGGCTCAGACTTGCCCATAGTTGCCCAGTCTGTAAGGATTAGAGGACAGGTTTGGAATTACAGAGTTTTTTCCTTCTCTATACAAATCATTCTTTCTCCTATTTTTTTTTTTTTGGCCTAGGCAATGAGGTTAAGTGACTTGCCCAGGGTCACTTATGTCTGAGGCTGGATTTGAACTCATGTCCTCCTGACTCCACCGTGCCACTTAGCTGCCCCTCCCAACTTTCTTAATACATCAGGTCTCCTTTACAAGAATTCACATTCTTAGCAACAATTAACTACAGTTATGGATGCTCAAGGCCTAGGAAGGCACAATAGTATCATTTATTTAATATTGGGTGCAGTCGAGTAGGTGATACAGTGAGTAGAGCTCTCTGGTCTTGGAATCAAAAAGACTTGAGTTTGAACCTTGCTTCAGATACTAGCTGCATGACTCTGGGCAAGTCGTTTAACCTATTTCTGCATCAGTTTCCTCATCTGTAAAATAGGGATAACATCACCTCCCTCCAGGATCATTGCAATGAGAAAATATTTGTAAAGCATTATGAAAGCCTTAAGGTACTATGTAAATACCAGCTATTATTTTTACTAGCTGTATTGGCAGGAGGAAGTGGGAGGTAAGGAGACAGGATCACTCCTTTGTTGAACCTGGGCCTACAGAGACAAGAGCTCAGTATGGTGCAGGAGGCTGACTGTGTGTAGCCATTGTAAGACCCCAGCCTCACATGCCCAAACAAGAATCAGTCACTAAGATAATAGCGATGGCCTACATTCTGGACGTGGTAGAACCCAAGAGGCGGCCCTCGTCCTGTATTCTTCAGTGGCTCCGTGGAGAAGGCCTCATCATGACGGTGGATAAAGCTGCAAAACAAGAGGAAATGATCTGCGGTTACAAAGTGTTTTCTCCATGACAGTCTGACAATGTGGGTCCTGCAGGCATCACCACATCAGCCCTGGTCAGTTACACAGCCTTACTAAGCGTATGAGCCATGATCTGGATGTGATTCAACCCAGCCCAGTGTTTTGTTTTTCTTTTAATGTACCATTCTTCCTTCACTGTTTTGTTTTTTTTTTTAAAGATTCCATTGGCATACTGTGCATTGACTTAAACTAAAAATGGATCTAATTAAATGGGAATGACAGACATCACTTGTTGAACAGGTTTGGAAAAGCTGGGTTTGAATGGCCAAGGCAGGGTGATTTCATTTTATTTTTCTCCACAGGTGGTGAAACCTCATGGCAGAAACTTGGGCTTTTTCTTCCCATGAATCACCCAATCAACAAGTTTTTACTATGTTCCAGTCACTGTTAGATGCTGGGGATATGATTGCAAAGAGTAAAAAAATTTCTTGAAAGAAGCTGACATTCTAATGGGGAAAGGCAGTAAGTGCGTGATGAAAATATACAGCACAAATATAAAGTCCGTCAATACAGACATAAATGTGCATATGCGTGCGTGCGCGTGCACACACACACACACACACACACACACACACACACACACACCACAGAGTTGCCAGGGAGAAGGGAAGCTCACTATTGGAAAATTGTCAATTACAGTGCCTGAACCTCTGTGATGTGGAGATTAGGGAGGATCATTCCAGGCACAGAGGATGGCTAGTGCAAAGGCATGCAGAGGGAAGATGAAGAATTGCATGTGAGGAGGAACAGAGGCAATATTCTGTGTTGAATTCTCCTAGACACAAGACTCAGATTCTTGGCTCAGTGATGGAAAGAAAATATTGACAGCAGCATCAGAGAAACTAAGAGAGAGAGACACAGTCATGGAAAGTATCATAGAAACATAGATTTAGGGCTAGAAGTAACCCTTAGAGGCCATCAGCTTTTTCATTTTATAAGTGAGGAAACTGAGGCATGGAGAAGTTAAATGCTCTGTCCAATCATTTGAGTTTGAATTCTGGACTCCACATTAAATGCCCTATCCACAATGCCATGTAACTGCTAAAGAATGAGGAGGACAGAGGGAGAATTGATGGGAGGACTCACTTGAACTGGCAGAAGATGTCGGCGTACTCTGCAGAGATGCTGGATGCCTGGAGCACTGTCACCCGGAAAGTGAAGATGCTGCCCAGCTTGAGATGGTCCAGGGAAGATTCCAAGGGGCCATCCATGACACTCTTCTCAGGGCTGTCCAGTAGCAGGTCTTCCGGAGTCACTGTGTGGTGAAAAGCCACAAGCTGGTTGCCCCATGTACAGGCTGCCCTTTCTCCTCGACTGCCTCTCAGAACCCCTACCTCTCTTCAGGTCTCAGCTCCAGAGCCACTGCCTAGAGGAGCCCTTTTCTGGTCTCTCCAGTTGTTAGCGCTCCCTAAAATCCCTGTGTGTTTACATTCGCTCATCGGGGCACATGTTCTTTCTGTCTTGATAGAACGTAAGCTCTTGCAAGGCAATGACTCACTTTTGTGTTTGTAACCCCAGTGCCTGGCATAGTGCTTGGCATGCAGGTGGTACTGAATAAATGCTTTTTAGATCGAATTCCACAGATTTCTTAACGACATTTCCAGAGCTGAGCTTTGGAGAAGGGAAGATTCCTTGCTTCTTTCTCAGAATCCCTTCCTTTGGGCAAAATAAAGGCTAGAAGTGGGCTAAGTGCTCTTTCCTTTAATCTGATACATAGGGGAGGAGGTAACACGGGCTGACCCATGTTCCTAGGGAGGGGAGCCGTGGCACCGCCAGAGTGGGGCTAACCACAACCAGAGTACTGAGGCAGGAAGAGATCACCGAGGCATCGCTGGGGGGCTAGAGATAAGCCCTCCTCAGGGATAGAGTGAGCCAGTGTATGCAGGCAGAGGGCCTGATGGGGCTCTCAGTTAATGCAACCATGCTTTGAGATCCCCGGGTACTTCCCCGTCCCCTGCTGACGTGCTCCTCATTCTTGGGAGTTACGCTGTCTCCCTGGGAGCCCTGAAGCAGGCATCATCTTTGAGCTTTCTTTGTGTCCCCCACGCCCGGCACAGTGCTAGGCACATAGTATTCACCCAGTCAGTGTTATGGACTATTGTAGAACTCTCACTGCTGCTCGGCCCGCCACATCCCCGACTTTGTAACTTCCCCAGGGTCCGGCGCTCCCCACCACACCCCGAACCCTCCCTCTACCTGCGCAGGTGTTGTTGTTAACTTCATCAGCAGAGGGGCCAATTTCAGCGACCTGCCCCTGTCCCTCGACAATGCGCAACTCTTCCTGCGAGGTGCCAGAACGAGACATCCCCACCACCGGACAGGACTCGGACTGGAACTGGAAGAGCCAACACACAGACAGCAGTCATGCTGAGGACAGCAAGCAGAGAGGAGGAGCCCCGGCAGATAGAACCCTGGGCCTGGAGTCAGGAAGACCTGAGTTCAAATTCCACCTCAGACACTTCTTACCGGGGGGGCCCTGGGGAAGTGTCTGAGCCACTCCCAGACTCAATTTTCTCATCTGTAAAATGAGAAAGTTGAGTGACCTCGATGGACCCCATGTGGCCCTCCAGCTCTATGTCCATGGTCCCTACAACAGAGTGCTTCACACATGACTCCTTTGATTCTGGCAACAACCCTGAGGACTATTATCACCCCATTCTACAATGGGGTCATACTCACGAGGCCCTGGCTCTCAAGTTAGAAAAAGTGGGTTCAAATCCCATCTCCAATGTTTATTTCCCATGTGACCTTCCCCTCCCTGCTCCTCAGTTTCCTCAACTGTAAAATGAGGGGTTTGGACTAGATGGTCTCAGAGGCCCCTTCCTGAATTAGAGCTAGGATTTCTAAGATTCCCTTGCATGCCAACATTTTAGGATTCTTTAAAATACCTTTCACTTTTACAAGTTATTCTGAAGTCAATATCAATCCCTTCTATTCCAATAAGTCTTTAGACTTTCCAAAGCAACTCAATAGGAGGCTGAAGATTTAGAGCCAGAAGGGACCTGGGAGATCATCTGGTCCAAATCTCCATTTTAGAGAGGTGAGCGACCTGCCCAAAGTCACGCAGTCATCAAAAGGCAGAGCCAGGATTGGAACCCAGATCCTTCAGTTCCAAATTCAGCCTTCGCTCCACTGTTCAGGTTACTAACAACAACCTCACAACGTAGGCAGTGTGGGTCAACATGCACATGTCCTCCACTGTGCTGAATATCAGAGGGGAAGGAAGGCAGATGCAAGAAATCATAACAAATAGCTGGCACTTATCATATATTATTATAATATCATATAATTATAACATTGGTGTATTGCGACATTATAAATATTATTAATAGCTGACACCACTTATATATGATAATATTATAATATATTATTGTAGTATAAATCTTAATAGCTCATACTTACATAGTGCTTTTAGCCTTTTAAAGGGATATATGTGTGTGTGTGTGTGTGTGTGTGTGTGTGTATATGCCTATATTATGTTGTGGTTGTCGCTCTAAACAGACTACAATACACATAAAAACAAGAGCGAATGATAAGAGCCCATGTACCCTAAGGTTGGGTGGGGCAGACTCTGTGAACTGTGGAAGAGCTTGGTGACAGCTCCAGAAGAAGGTAGGAGTTGGGTTGGACCCCAGAGATCATCTGGGCTTCAGAGGAGAGGGAGAAGCAGCTGAGCAGCCTGGAGTAGTGTTCATGGCTCAATGGGCAGAAGACTGGCCTCCCGAGAGTGGAGGGTGTGTTTCTAGGAATGATGAGAAATGAAGTGGGGGAGGTAAGATGCTATCAGATATGCACTTCGGGCTAACTGTCATGCAGTTAGTACCTTTTCGAAATGCTGATCATCAAAGGAGATCTTGGCTGTTCCTGACTGCCGAACACCGGAGCCATAGTCTGGGGCTTCTTCGTCCGCTGAAAGCAGAAAGGAGACAGTGGCCATGGCCATGTTAGCAGAACCCAAGGAGGGTTTGAATAGAGTCAAGGTTAGCTTGTTATAGGAGCAGAAACAACTCAGAGGGTTCTAGGGATGCTCAAAAGGATCTAGGTCTTTCCTGAAGCCCATTCTCCATGGACCAATGTCTGTCCACCTGCAGAAAGCAGATGTACAAACTGCCTTCCAAAAGCTGAGCTCTTTTCCAAGTATAAGTGGTTAAAATGAAGAGCAATCAGATGTAACAAAAAGTGGTTAAAATGAAGGTCAGTCAGATGTAACAAAAAGTGGTTACAATGAAAGTCAAGTGGAGCTGTATGGGAGGCAAGACAACTGAACTGTGGGGACAGGAAGGAAGCAGCCGGTGTCCCACTCTGAGGCTTCCTGCAGATAGAAGGTAAAAGGACTGTCCCATTCCAGACTGATGTTTGCTCTAGCTTGGCCTATTAGACTGTGGTAAAAGAGATGATTGTCTTGGGAGGAAGCTCTCTGAGAAGGACAGATTTATGAAACTGGACTGCTGCGATTTACAGAGGTCTCATCTGGTCCTCTCACTCTCCCTTCTTGGGTAGAGAGGCTTCATCTACATGACAGACAGACACGTGTGCATCCAGCTTCCATGTGGAACAGTCCTCGGGGAAGCTGGTGTCCATTGACTCATCTCGGTCCCTTTTCCTAAACCTCTTTACTCTTAGGATGTTATTTTTAAGGAAGTCTTGGTATCTTTGGGAAGCGGGCATTTCTACCTTGTAACAGAAGTAGAAAACTCCACACCCTGCACTGTGGTCTGCTTCCTCATGCCGTGGTTGCTGGTGCCCCTTCCCCATAGAAAACCCAGGAAGGTCTGTGATACATTTTGCAGTATTTAATCGCAGCACTTGAGTTAGTTAAGAGTGAGGGACAGGATGGGTTCTAGGAGGTGACACAAGCACTCTTTTTAATTCTTCTAACATTTCTCTGTTGTAGGCAGTCATACAAAGGACATTGATCTTAGGCCCAGAAGATCCGGGTTTGAGTTCCTACCTTGTGACCATGCTCAAAGTACTCTCCTTGTTCCAACCTCAGTTTCCTCCTCTGTAAGGAGGGATAACAATGCCTCCCTTGTGATGTGGTGACTGATGCTTTCACAGAATTTTATGGTAAAAAGGGCTTTACATCCATGATGTCATTTGAGCCCACAATAGCCCTGTCATGAAGGCAGCACAAACATTATCCCCATTTGCCAGATGAGGAAGCAGAGGAGTGAAGAGATGATGAAATTTCTAGCCTTTAAGGCTTGCAAAGGTCTTTCTGTACATTTCTCATTTAAGCCCCACAGCGGCTCTGGGTGTGATGTAGGTATGGCTCTCTCTCTCTGCTATATAGATGAAGATGTGGAGGTTTGCCAACGTCATCCACTATGAAATGTCAGAGGTCAGTCTTCCTGCCTCAGTCCAGCATACTAGCCTCCACCACACTTTATTGCCACCCCCCTCACAAAGGAGGAAAAGGTAAATTTGGCTTAACATAAGGAGGGACTTTCTACTATTTAGATCTGCCTTCAGTGTGGTGAGCTCCCCGTTTCTTGGAAGTGTTCAGACAGACTGGATGATCACATCCTACGATGGCCAACCAGGGAATTGCTGGGTTGGGTAAGAGGTTGGGCAGAGTGAGCTTTGAGCTCCCACCCAGCTCTAAAGAGGTGATTCTGGCCCAGAGGTTGCCCCACAGGCGGGTCAAGGTTGAGGCTAATGACCCCATGCCAGCTAACATCCAGCAGAGAAAAACAATGAGTGATTTCATAAGCCATCCTTCTATTTATAATCCTGTTCTAAAAGGTTGAATGTTATTTTAAGTCACAACTTTGTGTGTTATCAGTTATCAGAGGTGTTTCCAAATGCAAATGTTGACTGAGCCAGCTCCCAGGGAAGACTCTGACATACAAACAAGCTTGTGAAACACAAAATTCCACTAGTGGTCAATAAGTCTTGTAAATAAGGCCTCTCTGTTAGGTAAACAGACAGTTGGGTTTACATTTTAAAAGCAATATGATTCACTAATATGGTGAGTTGTTTTCCTGGGGATCCCGCCCAACATGGAAGACTGAGCCAAAAGGTAAGTAGGAGGCTCTTTTACTGAATGTAGGGGTCCCTTGGAACAAAGACCAAAGGGGACATGGAGCAGAGGAAAAAAAAAACCATGGTTGGGAGGTGGATAGGAGCCCCAGGAGAAAGCCTGAAAGTCTGATGGCACTAGATAATCTTCAATAACCTTGTGCCTCCTATGGAGAGCTGACCTGGGCTCAGAGGGATTTTTACGTACCAATGAAGACCATGGTCAGCCTGCAGTGGGTCTCCAAGCTGTTTTCTGTTCATAGGATAACAGATTTAGAGCTGGAAGGACCTAGTTCAACCCCCTCATTTTACAGATGAGGAAACTGAGGCCAAGAGGCTTAGTGATTTGCTCAAGCTCCCACAGTTAGTAAGTAGTCTGACCAGCTGCTATAGCTTTTCCCTATAGGGCTGTCTTCCATCTAATCGGAGTGTATCTTATATGTATCTATTTATTTCATGTTTTCATTCCCCTCCTTCATTAGAGTAAATGCTTCTTGAGGATAGGAATTGTTCTTGACTTTCTTTGTATCTCTATCACTTAGTACAATATCTGGCACTGACTGACCCAGCAGAAGCATGTCATACCAGATCAGCTTCTGGACTTAGAGTCTGGAGACCTGCATTTGAATCTTGCCTCCAACCTTTACTAGTTGTATGGCTCGGGACATGTTTCTTCTTCCCAAGCCTTGGTCTTGGAAGTGACTTTACCTAGAGTATCCAACTCCCAGGGTTTTTGTGAAGCTCTAAAGAGACACTTTGTCCAATGCTTTGTAAAGCTTTACGAACTATTGGAACACCAGCCATTATTGTAATTGGTCACAAGGGAGCTGGAGAGAGAATGGAGAGGGACCAGGACAGCACCATCATGAGTCACCCTGGAACCAAGAACCCAATGGGCAAATGGGAAGTGCTTGCTGATGGTGCGCCCTGGTGTCATCTTCTCATACAAAGGAATGGCTTCAATAATAGTGAAATGTTGGAAGGATTTGGGCCGCCATCTTTGTTTGCTCTCCCTGCCCCACATGGACCATGACCCTTCTATTGCTTAGCAGACTCTCTTAAAGAGACTCTGTGCCCAAAACTCCTACTACCCTGAAACCAAACTAGTTAACAAGCATCTCAGAGATGAGCTAGAGGTTCTGACTCAATTTGCTCCATGCCGTACCTAAGGTGGAGTAACCAGGATTTTGTCCAGGATGTAGACTTTTAGAGGACACTAACAATGAGCATGTACACTCCTTTAGTAAGGAGCACAGTAGTAACTAATTCCCACTGGCTTTTGTCTCGCTTGATTTCTAGAATTAGCACGGCATATTGAGGAGAGTGGTGAGCCAGGAGTCAAGGGCACCATGTTCAGATCCAGCTTCTGCCACATTAGCTGGGCGACCATGGACAAATCTCTTAGCCTTGGGCAAGTCCTTAGGATTTGTCTGCAAAGTCTACAAATGGGCTATACTCTCCATTGGTGGAGGAAATCCCTCATACCAGGAATCTCTGACCCTGATGAAACCCCAGATCATTATTGTCTTGGTATCACATTCATATTATCAGTCATGATTCCTTTGTGTACCCTGAGCAGCTTCTCCAGGGTATCTTAGCACTACTTTCTCTTTTCCTTGGGGTCTTACTTGATCTGTGTGCCAGGCTAGCATTTATTTGTAGCCAAAGTCTTTGGGAGCATAGGGTCACCAGGGAAGTTGGAGACTTTCATAGAGAAGAAAGATCACAATTTTGTATGTCAGTGGAGATGCAGATCTGCCATGTGATTCTACCTTCCCTCCACCAGTTCATCCATCCATCCATCCATCATCCATCCATCCATCCATCCATCCATCCATCCATCCATCCATCCATCCATCCATCTATCCAACAAGCATTTACAAAGTGTTTCCTACATACCATAGAGTGTGCTAGGCTTTTTCTCAGATGGCTGCCTCACTTTGGAATTGTGTGATATTTTAGCTATTGTCCAGGGCCAGGGCCACTGAAGATCCCTTTAAAAAAAAAAACATCCCAAACACACTATTTGCAGGGAAGGCCCATTTGAGAGAGAGAGCAGGCTAGAGTTTTGTCTGTGTCTGAGGATAATGCCAAGTCCTATTTTTGCCCTTCTTCTGTTCTCTTATCAGGGTGTGTTTTTCCCAGACAGCTGGATCCCTCCTTAATCATCTAGACCAAGTAAGAGGGTTTTATATCTATTTATGAGCTAATTATAGTAGTTAATCTTAGTAATTCATCTATTAATATGTAGAGCATGTCTCTGATGCCAAGCCTTGCAGTATAGTCTTTGGAACCTGCTGACTCATAAGCTTGAAAAAAAGCCATTAGAAATTACAAAGTGATCATTTGATAATAGGGACCGACAAATTTTAATTGAAGCCCATTAAGTTGGCAGGGATTTGAGGGGAATGGTTTTTCCTCCCAGGATGCTTTACTCTTATTAAAACCACGCAAATTTTAACTCACTCTTTTGGGATGCTTAGGACGTCTGTGCCAGGTGCCCTGGTCCTACCTCCAAGCAGGTTTTAAGTGAAGGACAAGTTAAGCTTCCATTGTCCAGAGGGGAAGCACTTTGTAAACCATCCAGTACCTGGGAAGAGCCAGTGAGACTCCACAGAACCTACCCCATCCACATGCTTTGCATTTCTTCACTGATACAAGCTTGTCTAAAGCTCTTGCTCTGCATCATCTATTGGAGGAAGTTCATTGGCTAGACTCCTTCCTGTCAAACGACCTTGCATTCAGTGACTTTGAAACATCTATTGGGGCATCTAGGGAATGCCACAGGGTATAGCGTGCTGGATCTGGAGTCAGGAAGATCTGAGTTCAAATCTGACATCAGACCAGATATATGATCCTGGGCAAATCACTTAACCTCTGTTTGCCTCAGTTCCTTCATCTGTAAAAGAGGGAATAATGATAGCATCTACCTCCCAGGGTGTCTGAGAGGATCAAATGGGATATTAGTAAAGAGTTTGTAAACCTCAAAGCTCTAGCTATTCTGATGGATTTGTATTCATGCACTTCATATCTGTGCTGCATATGCTTTTATTTGAGCTCCTCTCCCCCACTGGAATGTAAGTTCTTTGCAGATAGGATTTGTTTTATTTTTCCTACTGCCACCTAGCACAGTGCCTTGTATACAGTGGGTGCTTAATCAGTACCTGCTGTTTTATTAATTGATTTTGGTCTTTGGACTCATAGCACTTGGTGCAGTTCCAGGCTCATAGTAGGTGTTAAATAAATTCTTGTGGATTGATTGATAAAGCCCAGGAAGACCTATGCCTCCGTGTATATCCAATGACCCTTACAGGGGCTGAAGAAAAACAGGACAGCAGGGACCGTCTAGACTGAGAAACTGAGGCCCAGAGAGGGGAAGAGGCTCGTCTGAATGTCATGCGAGCAGCAAGTGTCAGAGCCGGAATTCACAGCCTTTTACATCTCAGGAAAAGCCAAGCACTACGTGTGGTACCTAAGAGACACCTGATAAATGCTTGTTAAATGAAAGAATGATGAGTGAATAAATTAATGAGTAAATAGGTGAATCGCTGAATGAAAAACTAACACATGAATGGATGAATGAATCAATGAATAAAAATTTAGTGAATGAGTAAATCAGTGAATGAAAAATAAATGGATGGATGGATGGATGGTTGGATGGATGAGAATAAATGAAGTGGGAGAAAAGTCCAGATCATGTATCAGGATCCGTGTTTTATGGAGCTATGTCAACATTATGTTTCACAGTCTCATCCAACGTCCTGTTTCATTGCTCCGTAGAGGTGCTCCTGGTGTGCCAGGCCCTCTGACTCTCCCACCAAATCCTGATGCCTCTTTTCCCAAAGGAGCCTTTCAGAAGACCAGAGCTTTCCCTGCACGCAGGTCGGGAGCTTCCCAGGGCATAGCCAGGCCCATCCGGGTCAGAGGGCTCCTGGGGTCACCTACCTGAGATGGCCTGCACGGCCACACGCAGGAAGCCCTTCACTTCACCCTTCTCGCTGACGATGGCCACGCGGTGGACCAGGGGCACAGGGTAGAGCAGGTTGCTGAGGTACACGAAGGCCCTGAGGGAGAGGCAGAGGAGAGTGGTCACTGTGCCCGCTGCTCCCCCTGGGGTCGCCAGGCACACGACAGACTGATGGGCAGTTGGCATCATCACAGCTCACCGCTCACACCACAACAGCGCTGCAAAGCAAAATGGAAGCGAGACAGCCAAGGCCAGCCGGAGGAGGAGGAGGAGGATGAAGATGAGGATGAGGATGGGCATGAGGAGGCAGAGGGCGAGTGAGGGAGGGGCTGAGCCGTGCGTGCTTAAGGTGGGAAGGTCGGGCTACAGTCAGCTTCCAGGAAGTCGGGTCAGTGGCGTGAACTTGAACTTGGCAGTGACTGAGTGACCCCTCCCCACGCCCCAAGGTAGTACCTTTTAGTCTTTCATCTCCCCCAGGCAGGAAGAGGGGAGGGCATTGCCATCTGGATGCTAGAAAAAGGACTTCTGGCCACAGAGAGTCACAGAACTAAGTCAGTAAAAGGTGATGAGACAGCTGCTGTAGATGAAATCCAGAAAGGAAAGGAGGGACACGGGGAGAAGGTCTGGGACAGGCTGCAGAGGAGGAGACAGGAGAGCTGAAGGAGAGTAGGCAGAGAAAGGGAAGCAGAGAAGGAAAGAAGGGAAGGAAGCCGTGAAGTCACAGCCCAGAGCCGACTACCTCCTGCAGGAAGGAGCAGAGTCTGAGAAAGAAAAGGGATTTCAAGTGGACCTTTCAGCCTGCAGCAAGAGGTGCCCTGGACCTTGGGCTGGGGATGAAAGGAGTCTGGGGGAAGCAAGGGGCTCAGAGGGAGGCCATCATGAGGTCCTAGGTGCCTTCTACAGGGAGGCCCTATACTTATGCCCGCTGCTAGCAGCTTTCCTCCTAAGCTTTGCTGGCATCCTTCCTGGCATTCTGCTGCCCCCCAACCTAAGGCTTGGAGTCTACATCTCTAAGCATCTCGGCTGGAATACCAGATGCCCATGGATTAAAATAACCCCAGTTTTTGAAAGGAGGAAGAAGGAAGAAAAGAACACATTCAATTTCTGCTTTCTCCCGGTCTGCTGGGGTACAGGCATGGACTCTGATGAGGCCAAAAGCCCAGGCTGGAGTGCTAGACCTGAAGCCAGAAGGCCTGACTGAGACATTTACTAACTCTTTGAATCTGGGCAAGTCCCTTAATCTCTGCCTGCCTACGTTTTCTGCACTAAAATGACTGTTGGATTCTGCGGCCTCTAAGATCCCTTTCTGTTCTATCTTTGATCCTATGATCTTTACTTTGTTCCATAAACACAGGCTGACCCCACCCTTGACTTTCCCCAGCTATTTCACAAGTGCCAACCATTGGTGAGATCAGTTAAGTGCATCAGGAGGGAGAGACAGAGACGAGAGGGAGACAGAGACAGAGACAGAGATGAGAGAGACAGAGAGAGAGAGATAGAAAGAGAGAGAGAGAGACAGAGAGAAAGAGAGAAGGGGAGAGAGGGAGAAAAAAAGAAAAGGAGCTGGGAGGACAGAGACAAAGAAAAGAGGGGGAGGGGAAGAGAGAGAAGAGAAGAAAAAGAGAAAAGAGAAAGAGGAGAGAATGGACAGAAGAAGAAGAAGAGGAGGAGGAGGAGGAGGAAGAAGAAGAAGAGGAAGAAGAAGAAGCACACATACACAAAGGCAGAGAGGAGAGACAGAGGGCACATGGATCTAGGCCATCTGGCTTACTTGCTGCTCTCCTTTCCAGGACATTCTATCTTGGCCCCATGCCTTGGCAACACCCATTCCCCATGGTGGGAAAGCTCTAAGCCTCCCAATGGTGCCTCTTGGGATCCTGATTACCCTCAAAGCACCAGGTCACTTACTGCTTCCTCCCCAAGACCTCTCCTGATCCCCCCACCTTGATTTTAGAACTTCCCCCACTCCTGCCTGCACTTTTATTGTGCATTTGCATTGTATATATCTTACATTTATGCATCTGTCTGTTGCTCTCTCTGCCTCCCCCTCCTGCTAGAATAAAAACTCCTTGAAGGTAGGACTGGTCTCATTTTTGTCTTCCTTTTTTCAATGCCAGCCTGGGGCCTGAGAGACAGCAAGCTTTTAATAAATGCTGGACATGGATGAATCAGTGCAAACCCATCCCCACTGCTGGAAAACCCATTCTGACAAGCACATAAGTGCCTTCCACTCACTGGGAAGATAGGGCGCGTCATCTATGCAGATGAAAGACCTATCGTCATAGAGCCTAATGCAGATGGATGTTGGTCCTGTCTCACCCAGGGCGCTGCACACTCCACCCTCCTGCCCTGCCCCATGCTTCATCCCCCAACTCTGTATCATGGCTTACACAACAGCAGGTATACCCCTACTTCTCAGTGCTGGATAACCAGCTTCTTAATGCAGACACACACTGGGCGAAAGCCTGATATAACAATGGACCTATAACTCTGCAAGCATGAGCAGATGGGAGGAAAGGGGATACATACACAGACAAATGCCATAGCTCTCGACCTAGAGAGACCTCAAAGGTCATCAAGAACAACTCCCTCATTTTACAGATAGGGAAACTGAGGCCCAGAAGTTGTGACATCACCAGCTCCTAGCTTGAGAGCTGGAAGAGACATCAAGGCCATCTAATCCTCATTTTACCAAAGAGGAAACTGAGTCTCAAAGGTCATGCAGGTAGTGTCTGTGGTTGGATTTGAACCCGGGTCCTCTGACACCAAGGCCATGTTCTCTCAGAATCTCAGATGGGGAAGCAGCCAGTTCAATCCCTGCCAGACAAAGGCTTTCCTCACCAACATCCCCGGCCAGGGTTTGTCTGTCAGACGGCCTCAGAGAGGCCATCTCTCACAGAGGATGCTTTCCCTGACCTTGAGCCCCATGTCTGCCTCTGGGCTGTGCAGAATAAAGCTGGCCCCTCTTCAACATGGTGGCCCTTCAATTACTAGCAAGCAAAGGCCCCCAGAGAGGCTACCTAGGACTTAAATTCACACGAAAGTACTAATATCAGTCATTTGACTTTCCTTAGAGAAGGTTCTGACTGGGGCAAAGGAGAGACAGGAGAGCCTCAGCCATCTTCCCGAGGGGCTGCATCTCTATCATGTGGTATACGGGAAAACTGGAAAGGAAGAACTCCCCATGGACATCCCTTCTCTGCCTTCCCGCTTTTTCCCACCTTATACCTCCCAGAAGATCTTAAGCTGGTCTATGACTCGTTACGCCCAGAGCATGGCTTCAAGGGTACTTGTACAAAGAGATGGAATGACTGGTCCAGTGTCATATGACTAGCACTTGTCAGAGGGAGGATTTGAACATGGCTCTTGTCTGATGTTCAGCATGCCTTCCACTATGCCTCGAGGTCCCTAACACACAATTGTGAATCCAGGAATAAACATAAATGAATGCTTCCACCTATTGAAATAGCTGCCTCCCTGGTGTGTCTAGGATGTCAGAGCTCAAGTGGCCATATCAGGACATATCCGTGGTCCTCACACAAGCAGCCTTCTGTGCTCTTGGCTAAAAATGCCTGTCCTTAGATGGCACAGTCTCCAGGCCCTTCATCGTCCTGGTTGCCTTCTGGGTGGTTCTAATTTAGCAACACCTTTTCCAAATTGGGGTGCTCATACCTGAGCCAAATGCCCAAGCTGTGCTTTACCCGGGGCAGAGGACAAAGGGATGGTCCACCTTTGACCCGCATAATTTTCAACTGTATTCATTTGTCTGAAGTTGGGATGGGCCCCTACTGCCCCCTATCTTTTGTTTTCAACAAGACCTGTCACTTTATGGGGAGGGAACTCCTTCCCAGCTGATAAAGCTCCCTCTGCTGAGGCAGACCAGTACCCATGCTCTCTGTCTTCGCCTTATCGAGGTGCCTGGGGCATTGAGAGCTTAGTGCTCACCCACCATCCTGGAGCCCATGGGTATCAAAGAGAGGACTGGAACTCAGGTCCTCTGGGCTCTGAGGCTGGCCCTTTCAACCTCTCTGGCTGCTGGGTTCTCACCGGAGAATGCACTGATTTCTGGGATCACAAGGCTCTGTGGAAATGGAGTGAGCTCCCTCTGGAAGGACAAGGAAGATGCTGAGTTCTGCCCTTCAGCTCTACTTTTCCCCTTCTGGCCTGGGATAATAACTTGCTGAGCCCATAGGGACAAAAACAACGAGCAATTTAGGGTCCTTGACCTTCTCCCCTCTAGTCAGGAAAATGCTTGGAGGGAGAAGAGGACTGCAGATGCCCAGACCCAGAGCCTGAGGGCAGGACTGCCTGGTGGTTAGCTCCTGGGGAGAAGGCATGAGGCTGATCTCTCCCTCCCTGAGCCCTCTGGCTCTCAATCCAAGGTCAATGACCTGCACCTCTGACTGCCCTCCCCCATGGCCTCTGAGGCCCAGGAATGCAAGCAGGGCTGAGGCCGAGGCATGGGGCTCCTGGGTGTGCAGGGGGAGGGTGAGTGCCGGCTCTGTCCTTCCACAGCTGTGCTCCTGGGGCCCTTCCTTCCCTACAGGAGGACGGAGCTGCCTTTCTCCAGGCCGAAGGGGCTGAGAACAGCAGATTGTTAGCTGGGACGATGTGGCGATTCATCAGTGTGGAGACGGAACTGCTCTCTCAGTAATGTCACTTCCCATGAAGAGGCCGGGCCCTGGGCGGTCAGCGGGAGCTCTGCCTGCACAGGGGCTGCAGAGATTTGGGTATGGGAAATGCGCGTCCTCCCCCTCCTCTCCTCACACCCTCTCCTGGGACTTTTACTTGGAGAGAGAGAATTTTCCTCTCTAAAGACACCATGGCTCCCTGGGCCAGAGGCCTGAAGGGGGAGATCTACTTACGGCAACAAAAAAGGCCTCGTTGAGGGCCTGTACTGGGCAGTGTGGTCTGGGACGGCCCCAGGAGGGAAGTGAGGCCCGGACAAGGATCCCAGGATGATCACAGATCTGGGTGGCAGGGCCCTTGGAGGCCTGGGGGGAGCAGGGAAGGACATCTTAAAGGCCCCTTTTCTAGCCATAACAGAGTCTAGGCTCCTGGCCCCTGGAAGGCTGTGTGGTACAGGGAAAAGAGGGC